AATAAAAATTCGAATAAGTCGCGTGTTGCTTGCTTTGCTTAATAAAAAAAATAAAAAAAAAGTCCCGATATATATATATATATATATATTACATCACTCGAAAAACTTGTGTTTTTCTACGAACGAGAAGCTACTCGCGAGAAGTCGAATCGAAAATACATATATTTTCTCGGATAACCGCGCAAATGTGATTAAATGAACGTCCTCAATTTCGAGTCGATTTCGCGGTGGCGAAAATTTTCAGCGGAATAAAAATATTTTTTTTTCTTTTTTTTTTTAAGCTGATACGTATAACCACACCGCGTTACAATATTTGTGTATAGAAACATTTGCAATTGAAATGCAGACAAGATTTCTCTGCCTCGATGTACCCGGGGGGAATTAAAAACCAGAGAGATTACCGGGTGGTGAATTTAAAAAAAAACGACGTAAGTTGTACACGCGGCGTGGTGCATGTGTTGCACCACGACATGTTTCATTTTTCATCTGAAAATCAAACAATGCGGGCGAAATAACCGGATCGGTGTTTGCAATGTTGCTGAACCCGCACACACACACACACAGTCCACCCGCGTTTATTGAATTATCCATTGTCGAAGTGCTTATTGTTTCGTAAATTCGTATTCTCGTTATAATTACAATCGTTCGGTATTATGCGAACGACGCGGGGGGAGAGAAGAAATTTGTTGTTTACGTTTCGGGGAAATATTCGCTGTTTACAGTTACATTCGCATGTATTTTCTGTGTTTTAATGCATGTATTTGCATTTTTGAGTGAGAAAAAAATATTCTTCGCGAGAGCGTAACGCGCGCGTCACACGCAACAAAATAATTATCATAAGAGCGCGAGAGTCACAGCGCGAGAAAGGACGCGAAATGTTACAACAACGTAAGTAAACAAAATAGTAATAACGCGTAATTAAAGGTGAAAATCTCATCGGATTAATTTTGTTTAAGAACTCACTTTTACCTTTGCTGCCGATGAATCCCGGCGGCGTTCTGTTTCGAAACCGCGTAAAAAAAAATCTCCGTCGACGGCGAGAGTTGAGCGTGTGCGGTCTTAGGGTTAATCGACACGCGGGGAAAACCGTTCGTTAAGACATTGTACGGAATATAAATCTACACCGGAGGAAACACAGAAGGTTGCGACTTGACACGTGTGTCGGGTAAGGGGAAGGAGGAGGTGTATCGCCTCTATATAGAAAGCATCGCGCGTGATTTAATGGGAAAAGTTCGCGGTTCGTGCGGCACGAGGTAAAAATCAACGTCACCTTTCTCCGGTTTCTCTCTATCGGCCCGCGAATGATCGCGAGGAAGATGCACGGCTGAATATAATCACGTGCGTTAGAAGAGGAAGATCCCGACTTTTCTACTTCGTGCTTCCTTCGCATGCACAGAAGGAAGGTTTGCCTCGGCTTCCTCTCGGAGAACGACGGTATGCAGGACAGTAGGTCACTATCAACTTGTCGGTATAAACCGCCACAGTTTCCCCTTCCCCGACTTATTTTCTTCCTCCTCTTCCTTCCTGCGCGGATTGTGTCTCGCACGAATTGCCACGTGCACGATATATTTCGATCGAAATTATTCTCATTTCGTTGCAGAAAAATTCTCAATCGCCTTAATGTACGTGTGTTCTTTACGTATCTCTCTTAAAAAAAAAAAAAAAGAAAATTAAATTATAGCGAAATAAAAATTACTCGAGACTGCGTTGCGTTCGTCTGTCGAAAAAATTTGTGTCTCCGCAAAATTGATTTTAGCGTGAAAGCATCGACGAGTCAATGTGTGCACCGAAAAAATTATATTCTTGTAAGTAGAAGATTTTATACTTAAAAAATCTTCTTAAAGATTTTAGATGATATTCTTCTGAAATTAAGAATATAGTCTTTTTCGATAGTGAGATATATATGTTTTTCTATAGAGGCTTTTTATATTCT